ATGCAATAAAAATATTTTTAAAAGAATAGCACTGGCATCAGTGTAGGGGAACCACAGCCACACAAAGGGAGCAAGAGAATTTGGTGCATGAGGACCCATTAAAGAGGAAACAGGACTAATGCAAAGGGTTAAACTGGCAAAAAGATGAGGTCACTGTCACTATAATTGTGCAAGGTTCCTAGACCTTCTGTCTGCAAAGTATCATTACACTCATCTACAAAATGAGTTAACTGGAGTAATTACATTTGCCGAAGCCTTTTACTTGGCTCTACAGTGCACTCACCTTGGACTGCTGCTGTATCTCCCTGTCTTCATTAAAATAGTGCTGCTGAGAAGGACGCCCCAGCCCCGTTAGGACCGCGTCACCTGCCGCTCCGCTGGAGTTAGTGTAGAGCGCTAGTGGGTTGAGATCACTGAAGCCCTACAACAAAGCATCCAGTTACATAACAAGCCAGAAACGGAGCACGAGCTGGTGCTTGACATGGCACCGAAGCATACGTTCTAACATAGGTGACATCTCCACACCGATACTTCTTCAGTTCAAAAACAGCAGCAGGATGAGAAGGTTATGGGGACAGCACTGGCACTAATTTCAAAATGCGAATGTAGTTCTTCTCTGGGAAAACATTCGATTAACTAACTACTTCAGGGTTAGAGGGATTAAATCATTTGTTTTAAATACAAGTAGTGTTCACCAGAGGATTAAAAAACAATTAGCAAGTTGTGGAGCTGTTTCTTAGTGGTGGTGGTAATGGCCAGGTTTCAATAGTGCCCTGAAAATAAGGAGGGTGCTCTGCATTGAGAAGGCAGGAACCCAACAGACATCTCTAAGCTTCAAGAGTAAATCAGTGACTGCACATATATTTATATACTAAAGTGTGGCATTTAAATATGTATTTTACCTTGGATGGAGCATTTTCTCGGCAGACAATAGCATGGCCCTCTGTCCTCAAGACATGATGAAAGTAGACATCTTCATTTGAAGATGTATCACAAAGAAAAATATTTAGGATTCCGTCTATATACTCATCCACCACCCCTACTAATGGCTTCAAACCACAGAGCTTCTGGAAGTGCAAAATAGCTCTGGATGTCCAGTGTTCCTAAAATCAACAGAGATTAATTTATGTAGCAGATGTATACCTGAGTTAAAGCAATCATATACAAAAATGAATTGCTAATGAACTAGAGTTTTAAGTGAAGAAAAAAATCCTAAAAACCTAGAACAACACATAAAACATCTATAATTTTAGGGAAAGAGAAATTAAAAGAAAAAATGGTTAAATAAACATGACCACAAAAAAATCATCTGGTGAAGAACTCTCATTTTCAGAAATCTATTATTTACTTATATAAATAAGGGGCCCAACCATCAAGGAAATGCACATCAAAACCACACAGATTTCACTGCACCTCAGTCAACACGGTTATCACCAGAAAACCGTAACAAATACTAGAGAAGTCACAGAAAGAAGGGGCCCTTGTAAATGCTGCTGCGGGTGTGTGCTAGTGCAGTCACCATGGAAACCAGTATGGAGATTCCTCCAAAGGTAAAAATAACAGTTCCACACAACCCAACTACACTGCTCCTAGGTAGACACTCAGAATCGATGTCTGTTTCCTCCAGGGCCAACTGTACACTCGTGTCCACCATGGCACTGTTACAGCAGTGAGGTCAGGAAGTCAGGCGGTGCCTACTGATGGAAGAAGATGAAGGGATAAAGCAATCGTGTTGTACATGCACAACAGAGTTCTACTCTGCACCAGGAAGGATTAAATCATGTAGTTTGCAGGGAAATGGATGGATGTAGAAATCATCACTTAAGTGAATTGGGACAGTCTCATAAAACAAGCATTCCATGTTCCTCTAAGGTGTGGAATCCAGGGCTGGGCGTAAGAATAAAAGGGGTAAATTAGAGCTACAGAAGATAAAAGGGGAAGGGAGTATAAGCACATTATATAAATACAAGAAAATCTCATAATAAAAACAAAGGAATGGGGCAAATGTAATCAAAATACATTATATGTATGCATGAAAATGTCATAATGAAACTTCTTATTCTATATTATATATGCTAATTTAAAAAGAAAAATAATGAAAAGGTTTGGAAAAATGTAAATAATTACCCACTGAGTAAATCTCATTTTTTAAAAAAGTCAGTTAAAGATTATTAGTCTAACCTTTCCATAGGAAAAAAATTAAAATTCTGGGTAAAATATTATTTTAATATATACCAAAAGACCAAAGAACTTATAAAATAGCAACAAATGTTATGCCAAAACGGAAGGGAAGTGAGGTCTACTTCTGCCTTCAGAGGACCCGGGGCTCTGGGCAAATCTGAACTATAGTTTTGATGGTCCTAATGAGTCAAAGGGGACAGATATCAAAGCTGTAGTCTACAATGGCTGGGAACCTAGAGAACTTTCCTTCATTAAGCTAGCTTCTGGGGGATACACTCCCAGGAAAAAGGGAGGCAAAACATACACTAAGCTTCACATGGATTTGTGGCTCTGATTTCACCCCACCAGCGTAGTCTAGCAATCTTCAGGTTGTTCGTTTCCATCAGCATAGTACAGCACAGTAGACCTTCTGGACACCTGGCAGAGCAACTATAAACCCTCTCTGGAGACAGACACCATCCAACCATCCTGACACAAACTTTCAAGAGAACAGCAGTATAAAGGCAAATACAGACACAGTGAGGACGTCTGAGATTGCTCAACAAGCCTGACGAACCTGAGTTTGATCCCCAGGACCCACATGATAGAATAGAGACCCAACTCCCACAAGCTGTCCACTAACATCAATGTATGGCATGCATGCACACACAGATCCATGCGTGTGCTAGAGTGTGAGTGCACATGCATGCACACACACACACACACACACACACACACACACACACACACACTCTTAAATGAAAATGTAAAAATTTTATCTAAAATAAAGCCTAAATATATATGTAAACAAGTAGAAAATTTTGTAGAGATTAGCGATTTATAAAGATTGGTACAGGTCGGCCAGCAAGTTGTCTCAGTGGGTAGAGGCACCTTGCATGGGCCTGATCACCCCAGTTTAACCCATGGATCTCACAAGGTGGCTGGAGAACTGTCTTGCTCTTACCCCTACTTCTTCACACACACACACACACACACACACACACACACACACACACACACACACACACACACACTTTTTAAAACTGATACAACTGAACTAAGTTTCAGTAAAAGTACAATTAACAAAAACTAAAACCTTCCTGGGTTAATTCAGTAGCAGATTAAATAGGATTGAAGAGTACACTAGACAGTGGAAGATAATTTAGAAAAAAACTGCCTAGTATGTAAAGACATGGGCATAAAAATACAGAAGACAGCTAAGAGATTTGGAAGAAAAACTTACCTTTAACACTTTAAATGTTTGTTCCAGAAAGAGAGAGACACAAACAGAATAAAAATATGAATATGGGGCACAGGCAATAGTCAAAGAATAACAACTTCAAATTCACAAGGTTTAATGAAAACTAATAACCCACAGATTATTACTAAGTGCCCAGTGAGAAAAGTAGGATAAATAATAAATTCACATACAAGTAAACATATCACATTTTACATAAACGCTCCCTGAAACTGAATGTAAGGGACACATGGAGGAAGATCTTTAAAACGAGGACAAAAGAGTGTTAAGGAGTTCCACGGGAAGAGCCATCCGTCTGACAGTGACTTCTCCAAAGTTAGGAAGACCAGAAGCCAGAGACAGCCTCTAGTGTGCTAGAGAGGCTGACGCTGGCCCGGAGCCCTACCCCTGGCAAACGTGTAATGGGCCTGGAGGGGGGGAGTGGCGGGGGGAGGGGGGGCTCTAACAGGTGGTACAGCCTGTGCTTTGCAAGCACGAGGCCCTGACTTCAATCTCTAGCACATGCACCAAAATTAGTACAAAATAATGATGGGTTCTGGTAAACATTACTAAATTTGCCACTGCATGACCCTATGAGATACTAAATAGTGCAGCTCAAGTAGGAAAATATTCCCAGGCAAGGAGAGGGAATAGATGATGAGTTTAAAATATGTAATCAGATCCATATAGCCACTATTATAATTATTTGTAAGCAATTTCTTATTTTTTAAATAAAAACCATTTTTCTTAAAACAATAAAAATTCTAACAAAACAAACATCTCAAGTTAATTAATTTCAGTTTCATTATTTTCTTGCATTCCTTCAAGAAAACTATTTATTGTAATTGCATATTATATATTAGATCATATATAGAGACTAGATTATTTGAACATCTCCCTTTTACCATTGTGTTTTTATTAAACTATATAGCATAAAATGCATTTTTAAGAGATCACATTGGAACAACACATGATTTATCATGTTACACAGATTACTTGAAAATTACAGTTTCCATATTTTTAAGGTATTATGTAAGGCATTTACACAAAATAAATACTTTGACAAAAAAATAACATACTACTGAATGTTAGACATTATAAAATAACTATATTTATGAAATTGTTAATAAAAGCTTGATCTATGAGGACATGTTAAAAATAGATTTACAGATACTACAATGGTGGAGTGTCACATTCTTTATGCTATGTTCCATTACATATAAAGGTCATTTAAGGTAACATAAATGAGTCTCAGCAGCTTCCAAATGTAATACTTCAATATGTACACTGTAGTCAATTTGAATAATCTAACAAAATGCCAGATGTGAACATTAGTTTTTCATTAATCTACAGTCTTACAATTCTAAACTTAAGGTTTGAAAAGATTCATGTCCTAGTGAGACCATGTTTCCTGGCCAGTGGACAGCCTCCTTACCATGGGCTCACACACAGAGTGAAAGAGGAGAGAGAAGAAGAGAGTGGGAGGGGGAGGGAGGAGGAGGGATAGAGGAAGAGAGCACATAAATGGTGGGCTCTGTATCAAGCAAAGGAAGCGGGGATCTAGTGTACAGGAGGAACAGGCACAGAATTGGGGCCCCATCCCAATGATGCTCACTTTTAGTTACTTCTTTATTATTTAATTTTTATTATAAGAATATACTAATTGAAGAGTTTATACGTATTTTGCTTAATACAATAAACACATTAACGCTCAATGCCTTGCCTGGATACATAAAGACACACACAAACGAATCCCTCAGTCATGAACTATGAGCTAGCTCAATGAGGAAAAAGATAAATTGATTTCTGGCTTTGTCTAAAAAATTCTAATAGTGTAGCTCAGTGAATATTAATTTTTAAGCAATAATTTTAGCATAGTAATACAGGCATTATCAAAACATAGTATCACAAAAACAAATTAGTTCATCTATACTAAGATACAAATCCAGGGGCTGGAGAGATGGCCCAGTGGTTAACAGCACTTGCTACTCTTGCAGAGAACCCTGGTTCATTTCCCAGCACCCACAGGGAGATGAAAACCATCTGAACTCCAGTTCTGAGGGTTCTGATGCCCTCTTCTGGTCTCTGTGTGAACTGTATGTACTTGCTAAGCATACATACATTCAGGCAAAACATCCATAAGCATAAACTTTAAAAGGAAAGATTTTAATTCATAGCATTGATAACATTATAATGACAGATGACTAACTAAGGTTGTTCCATCAGTCAGGAAGAGGAATTCCAAGAGGATGCAGACCTTATGATCATGTCTTAAAAGTTTATTCTAATTAATGTATAGTACATTAGAAAATTAACTTTAAATTCTTATTTGTTAATTTACTCCCACTCTGAATTTCTTCTAATAACATCCTTTAGAGTCATTATTATCTTTTATCACACATACTTTGTTTTTCTTACTTATAAGAGCCATCCAACATGGGAAGTAAAACTATCATGTCTAATATATAAAGTCAAGTATCACGTAACTATGTACCAACATATGACTCATAAACTAAACAAGAAAAAAGAACAACTTGAATTATCACTTATTTCCATGGTGTTCAGTTCTACCACCATAAGGTATTCATACTGCAAAAATATCTGAGGGTTTGTCATATATAGCCTCCATTATGTAGGGACATGTTCCCTCTACTCCTACTCCAGGACTTTTTTCATGAAGTCATGTTAGATTTTGTCAAAGACCTTTGTATCTATGGAGACAATCATGCGATTTTGTCTTTAAGTTCATTTATAGGATTGATTATATTTATGCTGAGGCACCCCTTCACCTCCAGGATAAAGATAGCTACAGCCAACATCATCCTAACTGGAGAAAAACTCAAAGCAATTCCGTGAATGTCCATAATGAGACAGGCTCATCGCCATTCCGTTTCAACACAGTGGTCAATGTCCTAGGCTAGAGAAATGAAACAAAGGAAGGAAATATGGGCGCAACTAGTCAAGGCAGCAAATGTGAAGATTATATGACTCCATATATAAAAGGTCCCGAAAATTCTACCAGAAAACTACTAGAACTGATCACCACTAACAATGTGGAATGATAAAAGTCAACTCAGAAAATTCAGTAGCCATTCTATATAATAACAGACATGCTAAGAAAGAGATCATGCAAACACTTCTGTTCAGTGTAGCATCAAAAAATAATATATCTAGGAAAACACAGGACCAGGGATATGAAAGGCCTCTGTAATGAAAATTTTAAACCTTTGAAGAAAGAGACTGAGGAAGACACTGGAATAGAGAGAGATCTTCTGAGCTCTTGGGTGGTAGAGTTAATTCTGTGAATATAGCCATCCTGCTAAAGGCAATGTGCAGATTCAGCTCAATCCATAGAAAAATCTTCATAATGTTCTTCACAGAAACAGAGAAAATCCCAAAATTCACATGGAAACACAAAAGGGCCTGGGTAGCCCAAGCAATCCTGAGTGCAAACAACAATGCTGAATGGATCACCACGCCAGCTTTCAAGCTGTAGTACAGAGCTCTAGTCACATAACCATTGTAACATGGGCACAAAAGCAGACGTGTGGACCCACCAAAGAAAACGGAAGACCCAAACATGAGTAAATGTAACTACAGACATCTGATCCTGCCAAAGACAGCAGACATACACAACAGAGAAAATACAGCATCTTCAACAAATGGTACTGTACCTGATTTATTTAAGTGATTATATGATATTATATAATAAAAACAAGTCAGGAAAGGTCAATGACATTGAGGGCTCCAATGTCTTTGCACTGGTATATACAAGTATTTTTTAAAAAAATAATAGAAGTAAAACTTACTGAAAATTAATTTTTTAATCTTCAAAATCAGAAATGCTAAATTAAAAAAGAAAAAACAAGCAGGCTAGAAAGTACACACAATAACGAAGTCTGAACTTAGATATTGTCATAATAAATATAATTAACACAAATGGTTCAGCTAAAAAGGTGAACATATTACCCTAGATTAGAAACACAACTATATGTAATTCATGGGAAACATACCTAAAACATAATATAGAGTGCTCAGGAGAAAAATAATGGTCTACACCAGAAAAAAATACTATGTAAAAGGAAAGTCACCGAGCTATAGGAACATCGAACAAGAAGGACTTGAAGTGCAAGTGCATTCATAGAAGAGGCTAATTTCATAACAACATTCACTTTCCAGGCATAAGAAAAACCTGATACTGTATGTGGAGCTAGTAACAGCTTCAGTGTGTCGACAAAGAGCAACTAAATGATGGGAGCAAGCAGAGCATCAGAACTAAAGCCATGCTTCCTTTCAGTGATTATTTTCAAAAGTATAAGAAAACCAAACCAAATGAAAACATCATACAATTAAGGTGACCTTAAGGACAACTATGGAATATTATATACAACTACACAGTCTGTACATTCAAGGACATATTATGACCTTATACTGGCTCATAAACAAAACCTCATGTAGACCTTATCTACTTCTCCTTTGCAGGGCGATCTATGCGTCCCTCCTTAGCTGGAATATAGTCCTCGTTAGCTAGCTTCTCTGGAATTGTGGGTTGAGGTCTGGTTATCCTTTGCTTTACATCTAGTATCCACTTAGGAGTGAATACATACCATGTCTGTCCTTCTTAGTCTGGGTTACCTCACTCAGGATGATATTTTCTAGTTTCATCCATTTGCCTGCAAATTTCATGATGTCATTGTTTTTTACTGCTGAGCAGTACTCCATTGTGTATATGTACCACATTTTTTCATCCATTCTTCTTTTTTTTTTTTTTTTAAGATTTATTTATTTATTATGTATACAGTGTTCTGCTTGCATGTATTCCTTCAGGCCAGAAGAGGGCACCAGATCTCATTACAGATGGTTGTGAGCCACCATGTGGTTGCTGAGAATTGAACTCAGGACCTCTGGAAGAACAGCCAGTGCTCTTAACCTCTGAGCCACCTCTCCAGCCCTTCTTTATCCATTCTTCTGCTGAAGGGCATCTAGGTTGTTTCCAGGTTCTGTATGTCATGTATAAGACTGTTGCCTTGCTTATGTTGGAGAATATGTGGAACAAAGGGAACAACTCCTCCACTGTTGGTAGGAGTGCAAACTTATACAGCCCCTTTTGGAAATCAATATGGCGGTTTCTCAGAAAATTGGAAATCAATCTACCTCAAGACCCAGTTATACCACTCTTGGGCATATACCCAAAGAATGCTCGTACCACAAGGACACATGCTCAACTATGTTCATAGCAGCCAAAACCTATTAATTTTTCAAAGGGCTAACATTTCCCATAGGATCACATCTGATCAGTTTTTTAGACTGGAAATCAGTAACAAGAAAAATTAGATAAACAGTATTTATAAACAAAGACATTTCTAAATAATCCACAACTCAAACATAAAAGCAAAATATAAATTACAAAATACTGTAACTGAGCAATAAAACCAATGCCCCCCAAAACTTACAAATTCACCTAAAGCCAGATATTGATAACTTAAGATTCCACACCAAAAGAGTAACTCAAAGTAGAGTTGAGAAAATAGGACAAAAACAAACAAAATAGAAAACATGTTTTGTTTTGTTTTGCTTTTCGAGACAAGGTTTCTCTGTGTAGCTTTGGAGCCTGTCCTGGAACTCACTCTGTAACCCAGGCTGGCCTCGAACTCACAGAGCTCTGCCTGTCTCCACCTCCTAAATTCTGGGTTTAAAGGCCTGTGCCACCACCACCTGGCTTAGAAAACATGTTTTTAACAGAGGCTCAAAAAAGTAAAACTTGGTTCTTTGAAGCAAACTAACCACAATGGAAACTACCTTTACCATTTAGATAATGACAGAATGAGAAAACATACAAATAAATCACATTCAGAATATCAACATTCACACCACCGCAAATGTTAACATAAAAAGACAAGAGGAGTCCAAGAATGATGGTGTACATTTGTCATCCCTGCCCTCAGGAAACAACTTGGACTTCATAACGAGACTGTGACTCATCAAAAAGAAACAAAAGACAAACACCCACCAGGAGGCTATTATGAACTATTCCCACCAATCAAATCAAAACTTTAAAATGAACACATTCCAAACTGGGGAGGGGACAATACAAAAGAGGGAGAGGGGGAAGTAACACTCAGGATGGCTGAAACGACAGGGAACCATTTTTTATACTTACCTATATATAACATGTATATGTGTGTGCGTGTGTGCGCATACGTATAGATGGTTTAAATGAACTTATGCCACTTGGGATGATAACGCCTTCTGCAAGAGTCATAGACTACCTAATAAAACCCCAGCAGGAGGCATGAGAAACCTCTTCTGAGTTGCTGATCAGGGAGTCCAAGAGATTCCAGAAAATCTAGGCTTCCCTGATGCCCCTGATTGCTTCTGAAGTTGAAGTTAAGATCCTAGTGTTGAAGACACCACACACTTTGGACAGGACTCAGGATTACAGCTGGGTCTGACCCGAAAGTCTCCTCCCTGACTGAGGACTAGCTTTCATATACACCAAAAGGTGCCATTCCAGTCATCAATAATTGCACCCAGCTGTGATGCCCATGAACTGACAACCAGCACGAAGTTACCCCAAAGACACAATTACCCAAAGAAGCCTCTCTGAAGCAGATCAGAAATCCCTACTGCTTAGTGACATGTTGTGTGGTGACATCATAGCACAACAGAGCACTCATTTGTGGTGATACTGGTATAAACAAACCGGTGCTGCAAGTCAGGTCAAAGTTCACCACATGCAATTATACACAGTGCAGTGTTGGACGTAACGACTGCTACTTGTTCACAGATTAACTTAGTCACCCCAGCTTGTCCTGCATTCTGGGCCAACAAGGGCACAGAATGTTGTGCTCCTCTCCCTCTGTCTGCAACGTCTCCTCTTTCTGCCCTTTGAGTAAACAAAAGTAGGCTTATTTCCCTTTGCTCTTCTCTCACACACAGCAAATGACAGCCAATGTGACAGGATGCAGCTCCTGCCCACACGTCGATCTCTCACATGACGCACAATCATTCAATGTTATTTCTGTGTCCTGAGAACTCAGAAGTGTGACTGGCACAGAGTAAGAACCAAATCTCTGCTGACCAATGAGAAACAAGTAAACGTACCTCTGCTGGTCTCACCCAAGCCAAAGAGCAAGGTATAGCCTGAGCGGGAAGCTTTGTGTAGCAGCATCTGCAGAATCAAACAAAGGTATGACTATTGAATCACATGTGTACACTGCTTTTATCAAGTCTCTGATCCATTTCTTGTCTTGTTATTTATACCATTTTAATTAATTCATGACACTTTAAATTAATGCCTTGTACTTGAAAAGTAATTTAAAAATCAAATTTTTAAAGATTTATTTATTTATTATGTATACAGTGTTCCATCTGCACATATCCCTGCAGGCCAGAAGAGGGCACCAGATCTCATTACAGATGGTTGTGAGCCACCATGTGGTTGCTGGGAATTGAACTCAGGACCTTTGGAAGAGCAGTCAGTGCTCTTATTAACCTCTGAGCCATCTCTCCAGCCCCTAAATAATCAAATTATAAACTACATGTGTTTGAAGAGAACCATGTTAATCAAAGCACCAGTCAGAACTGTTCAACCCCTGGGCATCTAAGTAGGCCTCTTAGCATGACCCTGAGTTACTTTCTTGATAAAAGACCAAAATGTATTTTCATGGTCCATTCAAATTCATAATCAAGTGACAGAAGACAAGACAGACTACAGACCACCCATAAAATGAGTGATCAAGGGCTGGAGAGACAGCTCAGTGATTAACGTGTGTGCTGCTTCTGCGGAGGATCCCAGCTCCACGTCAGGCAGCTCACGCCTGCCTGTAACTCCAGCTCCAGGGGCTCCTATAGCTTTGGCCCTGTGGGCACCCAATCATACACACAGTTAAAAACAATACAAATAAGTCTTTTAAAAATACAATAAATGGCTGGGCTGTGATGGCACACGCCTTTAATTCCAGTACTTGGGAGACAGGGCCAGGCAGATCTCTGTGAGTTCGAGGCCAGCCTGGTCTACAGAGCAAGATCCAGGACAGGCACCAAAGTTACACAGAGAAACCCTGTCTTGAAGAAACAAACAAACAAAATACATTAAATGATCATTTGTGAAGTATGCTCTATGATAAGATATAAAGAATGGATGGAAATTAGCAAGAGAAAGAAAAGATCCCAGCTCCAAAGTTCCATGATTCAAAATTTCATTTTTCCAGCATTCTTGCTGAATTCAACTCACTTGAGGAATCGCAGCGAGGACTTCTGAACAGTTCCAATATTTCCAAAGTCTGGGTAGAACACTTCAACTTCCTTTTTCCCGAGGATTCGGTGGATAATAACCCGGTACCACCACTTGTCCTCAGAAATCCTTACACAACAGAGATGTCCTGGTTGAATAAAATATTCTGGCATGATGTACCGATCAGAAACCAGCTGGTTAGAATAACAGCGCCTGTAGAATTCCATAATACAGGAAAACCCACAGAGTAAGAGAGAAAAAAAAAGGTAATTTTTACTGATGTATCAAGAAGAAAGTCTTAGCAACAAGCAAAGAAAAAAATTAATTTTCTCTGATTTGTTAATGTCTATTAATATCAATTCCTTTATCAAAACCCTTTCATCAACAAACTCCTTCCAAGTATGAAAATTACATGCTTATCTTGTTGTTTTACATTCTCTGAAGAGAATATAATGAATGTAATCCAACTTCATTCCAGAGAATTTCCTAAAATGGATACTTTCCCACTTACGGTTCGGGAAGAGGGACAAAGGACTGTAAGAGCCAGAATCCCAGGAAATATGCTGTGACAGTCTCACCTGGAGTCAGCCACACAAACAAGACCAGAACAGTGGAAGGGGAAATTTCGTGGGGTCTCACCCCTAAACAAAGAACTGCAGGCAACCAGTGACTGCTGGGAGAAGGAGAATTGGTCTCTCCTAGGAATGAGCCTCAGTATTGGTTATCCAATGCAGAGTGGTCAGCCCTAAAACAATATACGTATAAACCCAGTTTTTTCGTGTGTGTGTGTGTGTGTGTGTGTGTGTGTGTGTGTGTGTGTGTGTGTGTGTGTATACATATACATGTGTGTGTTACAAATACATATACATACAGTAAAATAAAAGAAAAAGAGGCTATCAACTTGAAAATGGGGAGTGGGTGGATAGGAGGGGCTCTAGAGAGGGGCTGGAGGGAGAAAGGGAGGGAAAGTGATATAATTCTATTTCAGTTAAAAACATTCTTTTTTTAAAAAAAGCACTGGAGACACTAGTAAGAGCTTAGCTAAAATATGTGGAGGGTTTTAGGAGGGAGACTTCAGACGCACTTACACACTATCATTCTTTCTGTATGACGT